GACATGGTGGAAGTAGCCATCAGAGGATGGGTACATGGTGGCCATAAAGGGATGGACATGGTCAGAAACAATGCTCAGGTAGGCCGTGGCATTTAAACGATGCCCAATTGGCACTAAGGGGCCTAAAGTGTGCCAGGAAAACATCCCCCACACCATTACACCACCACCACCAGCCTGCACAGTGGTAACAAGGCATGATGGTTCCATGTTCTCATTCTGTTTACGCCAAATTCTGACTCTAACATCTGAATGTCTCAACAGAAATCGAGACTCATCAGACCAGGCAACATTTTTCCAGTCTTCAACTGTTCAATTTTGGTGAGCTCTTGCAAATTGTAGCCTCTTTTTCCTATTTGTAGTGGAGATGAGTGGTACCCGGTGGAGTCTTCTGCTGTTGTAGCCCATCCGCCTCAAGGTTGTGCGTGTTGTGGCTTCACAAATGCTTTGCTGCATACCTCGGTTGTAACGAGTGGTTATTTCAGTCACTGTTGCCCTTCTATCAGCTCGAACCAGTCTGGCCATTCTCCTCTGACCTCTGGCATCAACAAGGCATTTCCGCCCACAGAACTGCCGCTCACTGGATGTTTTTTCTTTTTCGGACCATTCTCTGTAAACCCTAGAGATGGTTGTGCGTGAAAATCCCAGTAGATTAGCAGTTTCTGAAATACTCAGACCAGCCCTTCTGGCACCAACAATCATGCCACGTTCAAAGTCACTCAAATCACCTTTCTTCCCCATACTGATGCTCGGTTTGAACTGCAGGAGATTGTCTTGACCATGTCTACATGCCTGAATGCACTGAGTTGCCGCCATGTGATTGGCTGCTTAGAAATTAAGTGTTAACGAGCAGTTGGACAGGTGTACCTAATAAAGTGGCCGGTGAGTGTATATATATATATATACATATAAAATATTATTAAAAATATTATATATTATATACATCAGGTTACCAGTTAGCTAACGTTAGTGAAGTGTTGGTCACGTAAGCTATCGCTGCAATAACCTATTATCTTCCAATAAACATTTACTAAAACTGGCTACATAAAATATAACTACAGACTAGATTCACGAGAGGTCGGCTAATGTGTGTAAAAGTAAAAAAATACAGTAATTTTATTAATTTACCAGCGAACGTACTTCTGAAGCACTGAAAATGAATGGGGTTCAATGGAGAAACTATCAGTGTTTGGAACTATTGGCTGCTCCACGACACGCGTTACTTCCGCATTCCAAAGTTCCTATGGCGGTCTATGGGAGTGTCGCAACTCTTTCTCTCTATGGCTCTGGTCCAGCTCTAAAGCTCACAAATCAGTTTTTTTGTAAAGTAAACAGTAAACACACTTCATAGTCGCGATGCCTATATTGTCTCATGTTTATCAAAATAAAACTGATTTAAAAACGTCGACTCCACTTCATTGATAGTAGCTAGGCTACCTATAGGCTTATGTTGAACTTTATTCTTGTTCAAAAAGACGCTGTATGAAGCAGTAGCTACAAAAAGTATCTCTGAAACATCTGTGTATTTGGCAAATATTGCATTTGTTTCACTTCAGCTGTGGTAAAGTATGCAAACACCATGTGAGCGGTCACTACGGGAACCAGAAAGTGTCCGACTCCTATGGTCCGACTTCACGTCTCTGTTTCTCCTCCCCGCCTGCACGCGGCAACTCTCGCCGATCGGTTACATCCAGCAGCAGCCGGTGTCGAACACACCTAATCTCCCTACCCTCTCAAAATACTGAAATATTTGTATAGGCTATTATGCATATTTTGCATATATACTGTATATATTTTAAAATCACTATGGGAAATATGAATGAAAAAATACTTCCGGAAAAGGGGACTGGCTGTTGCACTCTATTTGGATGTATAATGAACAATTGACAGATGAACTGACAGATATTTCATGTAAACAGGCACAATCTCTGCATCTGATGGCGGCCATGTGTTTTCGCCTATGATAACTGGTTCATCTCTAGGCTCCTTTGAGATGAATATGACTTTTGCACCCTCTACCAAATCAAATGTGCCGGCAAATTGTAAGTGTAATAGCCTAACTATTAAAACAGATTTGGCCTATAATGTATAAAATTAGACTCTGTAACAGAGTATAAATTAATCTTAATCAAGCACTCGTAGTTAACTATTTGGGACCAATTTTAAGGAAGGTTACATTCTGGTCTAAAAGTGTCATGTGCAAATCTGGGATACAGATAAATGTTATGTTGTTTGGTACTACTGGATTGATTTTTGTTGAATGTGCCAAGAGGAATTTATTTGATTTAGTGTCATGCTCCTGGATGATTCAGACTCAGAATTAAACTAGGCTATATCAGCCGTTTGTTTTACTGCAGACTCGAATACTGCCCAAAAGGACTGTCCCATTTTTTTTTTATTCAATCAATGCAATAATAAATAATAATAATAAAATAAAAATAAAATAATCTCACAATAATCCTATTTTTTCTAATGTTTCAGTCCAGAACCCTGATAGAGACTGGGAAAGAAGAGAAAATGGTAACAGGTCAATACAAGGTTAGATTCTATCTTTATATTCTTTATACCATTCTGCCTTAATTTTCCTTTCCTGTTATTTTTTTTTATTGTTTATCTTTATATTCACAGATTATCGAAAATTTCTGAAAGCAAACACCAGTCGGTTCAAAAAGTGAAGAACATTGATCCAATCATTGATGATCTTGACTTGCACAATGAATCAGTTGCAAATGTGACATCTCTCATGAAGGAACTGCAATAATAACGGGTGTATTGTTTGGCATTATGTACTTACAATTTTTTTTTTATAATAGTTGGTTGGTGATGGAAGTTTTAATTTTTTTGCTTTGAGAACCAAATATATTTTACAAGTAAGTATAGCCTAACCAAACTGGTCACATTAATGATATTTCACATAATAAACAGTGGCATAGTTTGTATTTCTTTTGTTCGTAACTTTGTACATTTTTAAGCTTAGATATCTTTAAATACATTTTAATGTAATTTTTTTTATGTTTTTCATTCCACTTGATCTTATAATAAAGATTATAATAAATCAAAAATAATGTATTTTTTATGACCATCAAATGAGAAATAACTTAACATAACATCAAGTTTTGTTGACGGTATTTTTACTGCTTACTAAAGAAGACACGTAGTTGCATTCCCAGATTAGTTTTTAAAAAATAATTGGTCAATAATTAAACACTTGCATGATAAATACTACCATCCTCTGTGAACTATGCAAATGATGTTGTCTTAACAGAACCTTATGCTATTGTTTGTTTTTTGAGATTTAAGCACTTTAAACTTCACAATATAAGACACATAAGTTGCATTTAAAGGAAGATGAGGTCTCTCTTAGGACTAGTGTACAATTAGTAATAAATTATATTTAGATTTGCTTATTTAGTTGTTAGCACAACATTGAAAATGATGTGAAATTGTGTCAACAATTGTAATCTATATAGCATATAAAAAATATGTTATTAGCCTAAAAATTACACTATATAGGCCTACTTTTTTAAAATACCTTTTCACTATATTTGTTTACTTTTTACTATTTTACGTCACATCGAAACTGCTTAAAACCCATGGCGAAATGATCTTTCAAAATGACGTCATGACAAAACCCCTCACAGCCTCGTTATTATTACCGTCAAGTTATGTTTATTATTTGTATGTGACTGGCATTCAATTTTTTAAAAAAGAAGTTATTATTACCGTCAAATTTAATATGTAAATTATGTCAAACAACAACTGGAGCAGCAGGAACAGAAGTCAGCCACTAGATGGCGAAATTGGTTTAGCACAACGAGTGAAGAGAAGGAAGGAGTTTGAACCGTGGCTTATCCTGTTGGCGTTCAGCATGGCACAGGTAAAAATAAAAACAACTGTAATATGAATTACAAACTGTTGTTCACATTATAGAGCACAGCTAGATTATAGATAACACAGTCATTCCTTCCTTTCATTCAGTTATACAAATTTTCAGTCTACATAATCATTGTTTCAAACACAAGATTATTGTAATATGTAATGAAAACATTTGGTTTAATCACTGAAACACAACAGTATGATCTTCTTTCAATTTAGTACTTTTAACAATCAATTCATTTAATAGCAAACAATGCAAGAGATACAAGTTTTAAATCACCCGTGTTGCTAAAATACTACACAGGCTACATTACCTTACGTATCTATCTATCTATCTATCTATCTATCTATCTATCTATCTATCTATCTATCTATCTATCTATCTATCTATCTATCTATCTATCTATCTATCTATCTATCTCACTGTAAAAAGTTGCTGCTTTAAAATTTTAAGTAGGCTACAATCAAAATGGATGTTTAAGCCATTTCAACTTAAATTACATTAAACTGACTTTAAAAATTAGTTGAATGTCGTATATCTTATAAAAAAAAGTTGAAAAACAAAACTGAAATGTTGTATTTGCTGGAGGCATCATACACAATAATGCTTTTAATGAATGGTTAGTAGAATAATAGTTTTACAAATTCAGTTTGAGCTCATGCTAGAAAATTGCCTCATTTGACAAAATTTGAAAATTAATTAAGTAACATAACAGTGGATGAGATTAGATAGCCTATAATGTGCTGTAATATGCAAACAACAAGCATATAAATAAATACACAAACAAACAAATAAACTACATAACAGGTCGTCGAGGCAGCTGTAGGCCTACTAGTTTTGACACAATCTTCACCCAGCGTTAGAATAAATACAATGCAACGCACATATCGAAAACGAAAATAAAACTCTGTCTATGGTATTTCGTACACGTCAGTACAAGGTTGTAGCGTAAACCTGTTGTCAAAAATGGATAAAGTCCTTTTGAAAAACAAAACTAAACTCATCCGCTGGCTTGAATTGAATCGGATTCTTATTTTGCAACATGTTCAACAGCACGAACTTATTACACAGACAGAGTAGGCTACGTTAATCTTATGACAGTTCCCAGGGAGGAAGTAGTTATCAAACTTCTGGACATCATCCATGGAAAGGGTGAAAATGTGTGTCGAAATTTTCTTAATATGCTGAAAATCGATGATGTGAATGAATTTTCTCCTGAACTCAGAGAATGGATCAAAGCAGTGGACACTTCAGGTAGGCTATGTTGTTTTGCTAAATGACACTTGCACATTATTTGCATAATAGGCTATCCTAAAAAACAGTTATAAAGTGGCTTATTTTAGCTTTACAATCGGTTTGTTGATGGACATGCACTGTTAATGCTGATGGTGAGGAATTACAGTTGCAACATCTTATAGCCTAATGCAGTCTTTTTATAAGATTGGGTTTGGGAATAACCTACAAGGCTGAGTCTTCACAAAGTGAAACACATCACACAGTGGTGCGGCCGCCATTTGGACCGAATTGCAACATGCCGTCTATCTGCAGAAACTGTCCTATAATTTATGATATATCTCCGTGTACATACAGTGGTAGGCTATTACCATACTGACTCCGTGCCTGAATGGTTTCGGGAACCCCAGATAGACCGGTATTTGCCCGTTTGCAGCAGTTATAGCCTATAGCCGCGATGGCAAAGGGCAAAGGGCACCCCTTTGTTATTTTTTTCTCTTTCTCACTGTTAATGTCTTGTATCCTTTCATTTGCAACACGAAATAAATAAATTTCTTAATAAAAAAAAAAGAAAGAAGATTATTTACTAACATAACTCAATTCGTGTCGCTGTACAGCCTCCCCCTATTGGACGCAAAACGTCCCGGGTTACGTATGTAACCCTAGTTCCCCGAAGGGACGGACGCTGCGTGTAATCGCAGTGGGAACGCCCCCAGCGTGACGCGTCTGAAGCATGAATGAAATCAGTCAATGGAGAGAATGAGCGTACGGCGAGTGACGTCATAGACCAGGAAGCTATAAATATCCCCTGAGCACACAACACGCCAGCTTAAAAGTTACTGAAGCAGCGACCCCAGGGGATGCCGAGAGTATGGCAGGACACGCAGCGTCCGTCCCTTCGGGGAACTAGGGTTACATACGTAACCCGGGACGTTCCCCTTCAGGGACTACCGCTGCGTGTAATCGCAGTGGGAACGCAATACCCACATCCCCATACGACCAAATCCCCGTCGTGTGTCATTAGGAGACACAAGCCGACGAGAGAACCTGAGCCCCGGGAGTGGAGCTAAGGTCAAGGGGAATAAAATCTGACGAAAGTGTGCGGTGAGGACCAGCCTGCCGCATCACAAACGTCCTGAAGAGAAGCTCCTGAAAGAAGAGCTGTAGAGGCAGCCATACTCCTGGTGGAATGAGCCCTTACAGCCAAAGGTGAAGGCTGATGGGCCGAACCGTAAGCAAGCGAGATGGCCTCGACCACCCACTTGCTCATCCTTTGCTTAGATGCAGGACACCCTCTCTTAGGTGACCCAAAACAGACAAACAGTTGTTCCGATCTCCTCCACAGAGCAGCTCTGTGGACATACGCATCTAAAGCCCTAACAGGGCACAGCAAATTAAGTTTCCTCTGGTCTGACGTCAGAAAAGGCGGAGGACAGAAAGCCTGCAGAACTATAGGTCTAACCAAAGTGGTTGGCACCTTAGGAACATAACCTGGTCTCGGACAGAGAAAGGCCTTAACCATACCAGGAGCAAATTCCAGGCACGAGGGAGCCACCGAAAGTGCTTGAATATCACCAATCCTTTTTAGAGATGAGATAGCAAGAAGAAGGATAGTCTTAAGAGTAAGAAACTTTTCCGAAACTTCCTCGATGGGCTCGAAAGGAGCAAGGGAGAGACCTTCTAAGACGATGGCCAGATCCCAAGCTGGTACCCTTGTGCGAACTGCAGGCCTCAGCCTCAGGGTGCCACGAAGGAAGCGAGATATAAGTGGGTGTTTCCCGAGGGAACCTCCACTTGAAGGGGTGTGGTAAGCAGCTAAGGCCGCCACATACACCTTCAGTGTGGAGTGGGATAACCCTGTGGAGAGACGGTCCTGCAGGAAATCCAGCACTGTACCAACCGGGCAGTTAACTGGGTCCTGCTGGCGGTCTCCACACCAAGAGGTGAAAAGTTTCCACCTCGCGGCATATAACTTCCTCGTGGAGGGAGCTCTGGATTGGAGGATGGTCTCAACGACCTCAGCCGAGAGACCAGAATCTATGAGCTGGGCCCCCTCAGAGGCCAAGCCCACAGCCTCCATAGCTCTGGACGGGGGTGAAGGATCGACCCACTCGCCTGAGAGAGCAGATCTCTCCTGATCGGTATCTCTAGGGGAGAGCCGTCGAGGAGAGACACTAGGTCCGAAAACCATACTCGGGCCGGCCAGAACGGGGCTATAAGCAGGAGACTGAGCCCGTCCTGGCGAACCCTCTCCAGAACTCCTGGGAGCAGAGCGATCGGGGGAAAAGCGTACAGGCGTGACCTCGGCCACGGATGTACCATAGCATCCAACCCCAGTGGGGCTGGCTGGCTGAGAGAGAACCACAGTGGACAGTGTGATGTCTCTCGGGATGCAAATAGGTCTACCTCGGCACGACCGAAATGTCCCCATACGAGCTCCACCACCTCGGGGTGAAGACTCCACTCCCCGGGCCTCGGCCCCTGCCTCGACATGATGTCTGCCCCCTGATTCAAATACCCCGGGAGATAAATAGCTCTGAGAGAGAGAATTTTCCCCTGGGACCACAGAAGGATCTGACGTGCCAGCTTGTAAAGCGGGCGAGAACGCAGACCCCCCTGGTGGTTGATATAGGAAACCACCGATGTGTTGTCTGTCCGGACAAGAACATGGTGGCCTCTTAGGTCCGGGAGGAAATGTTTCAGGGCCTGAAACACTGCCAACATCTCTAGACAATTTATGTGCCATAGACGGTGATGGTCCTCCCACAGACCCTGAGCCGGGTGACCACTCATGATCGCCCCCCAACCCGTGAGAGAGGCATCTGTCGTTAGCATCACGCGACGACAAGGAGCTCCCAACACAGGGCCTTGGGACAGAAACCAAGGATCTTTCCACATAACCAGGGCGCGATGACACCCCCGAAAGCGAACCTCAGGAACTTCCTGTGTTGAGGGAGGATAGATACATGAAAGTAAGCGTCCTTTAGATCTATCGTGACAAACCAGTCCTCGGATCTGATTTGTGACACGATCTGCTTGAGAGTGAGCATCTTGAACTTGAGCTTCCCTACAGTGTGATTTAAGACACGCAGATCTAGAATGGGACGCAGCCCTCCATCTTTTTTCGGAACGATGAAGTACCGGCTGTAGTATCCTTACTCCCTGCTGGGTGGAGGAACCCGTTCTATAGCCCCTTTTTGCAGCAGAGTTTTTACCTCCTGTTCTAATACCAGAGCCTGCTCGGGGCCTACCACAGTGGGCAGAACCCCTCTGAACCGAGGTGGACGCGTTCTGAACTGAATAGCGTACCCGTTCTTTATAATATTCAGGACCCACTGAGAAACATTGGGAAGCATTTCCCATTCCGCCAGGAACTCTACTAAGGGAACCAGCCTCTCGAGGCTGGCCTCTGGATGAACATCCCGAGTGACAGACACAGCGCCCTGTAACATACTGGCAGGAAACAGCTGGTCTGAACACTCCACAACCCTCCTCGGAGGGGGCGAGCGTCCCTCGGGAAATTGCTCGCCGAGTCTCTCTACGCCCTGTGTAGGCAGGGTTAGTAGAACAGACCCCTGAGGGCATCGGGAAAGACAGGGCACCGTGTTCTTGTGCGGTGAACTCAAGTCTCTCCCGATGGGGACCACCCTCAGAGTCCTGACGTTCAGCCCGTCAGGACTTTTTCGACGCGGCCTTCCTGGCGACAATGACTGTCCTCAGATCAGTCCTGCCCGAGACGGCCGCGCCGGAGAGCGCCCCGCCTCGTCCCTCCAGTTTCCCTGCGGGGGGGCACGAGACGCGACACTCCGCTTCTGCTGTGCTCTTCTTGAAGAGGAAGAACTCAACGGCTGGGACTGCCCTTTTCGCTCAGCAGCCCCAGTGACACGTATTTTAAGAGGGATAAATTTAGAAAAAGCAGCCGCCTGTTTTTTCTCTTCCTGGAACCTCTCCGTGACCGAGTGAAGAGCGTCACCGAAGAGGCCCGCAGGCGAAACAGGAGCATTTAAAAGGAGAGACTTATCTTTTTCCTTCATCGATGTCTGACTCAACCATAAGTGCCTTTCTGTGGCCACCATGGCTGCCATAGATCGACCAATAGATTTAGCGGACTCTCTGGTGGCACGCAGAGTGAGATCCGCAGTCTGCCTAAGTTCGCTAATCATATCAGCCGAAATTTCACCCCCCTCAGAAACATCTTTGAGCAGGTCGGCCTGATAAGCCTGCATAATAGCCATCGTATGCAAACACGCAGCCGCCTGCCCAGCCGCCGAGTAAGCCTTCCCCACCAGCACAGAGGTATTCTTTAGTGGTCTAGATGGAAGAGCCGGCGCTTTAAGTGAAACCGAAGAAGCAGGAGAGAGATAGCTCGCGAGCGTCTCCTCCGCCTTCGGCATCGTCACATAACCAGCAGATTTAGCACCAAAAATGTTACCATAAGCATTTGACTGATTCGTGTAAATTCTGCTAGAAACCGGTCTAACCCAGGTCTTTGAAACCTCAGCATGAAGGTCTGGGAAGAACGGTAAGCACCGGCGAGAAGGTTGAGGTCGTGCAGACAGAAATCTATCATCTAGTTTGCTTTTAATTTTAGAATCCTGTCTATCAGCTGGCCACTCGATACTGAGCCTTTCAACAGCCCCAAATTAACACATCCATCAAACCTTCTTCATTTGCAGTATAATGTGTCACACTAGTTCCCTCTGATGCAAAACTTTCGACATCCAGATCCTCAGAACTGGATAATCTTAATTCCACATCATCATATGCCTCCACCTGGGCAGAAGTAACCGCCGCAGCGCGTGCTTCCGAAGCCGGGTGAGAGGCACCGGATCCCGCCGGAGAAAGCTGAGATAGGGCGGGGCCCGTCTCAACATCGCCGGTGAGATCCATCTGCGAACCCCAAGTCAAGCGCCGCCGCTCTGCCTCAACAGAAGCGGGACCCGAGCCTTGGGGAGCTCGCAGCAAACCACTCTCCTCAAAGAGCGATCGCCGCGAGCGCAGAGTTCTAAGAGGAAAGCGTT